GAATCTCAGGAAGAACTTCTTTGCTGTGAGAGTGCCAGAGCCCTGGGCCAGGCTGCCCAGAGAGGCTGTGGAGTCTCCTTCTCTGGAGACATTCCAACCCCCCTGGCCACGTTCCTGTGTGATGTGCTCTGGGTGCCCCTGCTCTGGCAGGGAGGTTGGGCTGGGGGAGCTTTCCAGGTCCCTTCCAACTCCTGGGATTCTGTGATTCTGTGGTTTTGGCACAATGGAGGGAATATTTCCAGAGAAAACAACAAATTAGTTGCCTTGGCTGCTTCTTGCCCTTCCTTGCTGTGGCAGAAGAACACAAAACATGAAGCTACCACTACAATCCACTTCAGTTTCTGAGAGGACTTCTCCTCAGGCACCTAAAGCACCTCCTTGCTTTGTTTACAGGAGCACACAGACCTGCCCTGGGAGCATCTGTGCAGCAAAAGATGTAGAAGAAAACAGTGACCATCTGCAAAGCATGTGTGGTAGTTTCAGCTTTTAAAAACAAAATAAATGACTTTTTCCTTTTTTTTCCACTCCAAACCAGCAGCTGTCACTCACTCACTTGCTTCCCAGCAGCACTTAAACCCTCCCTTTCTCCCCCCATCCTTGTGGTTTTCCTGCTGCCAGTCCGTGCACTTGTGTTATTTTGGGTAGGGTTGTCTTTTGGATGGGAGCCAGAGGGACTGAAAAGCTTTTTGTGAACGAAGCACGTGGGTGATGTGGACATCAAGACCTTCAGGGGCTGATAATGTTTGTCCATGACACGTAAACTGGAAGAATTATAAATAAACCTGGGAGATAAGGCTGGACACCTTGGGAGCCTTTGGCATGAAGGCAAATGAGAGATGATGCAAATGGGTAAGAAATAATTGAGTACTGTGTCCAGTTCTGGGCTGGAAGGATAAGGAGCTACTGGGAAGAGCCCAGCACAGGGCACTGGGATGCTGAGGGGGCTGGAGCATCTGCCTGTGAGGAAAGGCTGGGAGAGCTGGGGCTGCTCAGCTGGGAGAAAAGGAGGCTGAGGGGGGGTCAGATCAGGGCTTGTAAATATCTCCAGGGGGTCAGGAGGTGGGGCCAGACTCTGCTCAGGGGTGCCCAGGGCCAGGCCAGGGGGCAATGAGCACAAACTGGAGCACAGGAGGTTTGACCTGAATGTCAGAAAACAGTTCTTGCCTGTGAGGGTGGCAGAGCCCTGGGACAGGCTGCCCAGGGAGGCT